GGATTCATGAGCTGGGGGATGCTGAGGACTCTAGAGTTGGCAGAAGTGATGACAATCCTTCAGCCTTTTTGGTTATGGATTATGTAGTGAGCAGAAATCAGGATAAATTGTAGCTCCAACAAAATTTCTTAACCAGCATAAATTTCAAAACATATGGCTAAACAAACATGATCCCTAGAACATGTCAGGCAAGAGGTAAGAACACATGCATTCCTTCATGTGATGGATAAGTAAGTGTGAGTGCACATGCATGCATATCATTAGTAAAGGTGAGTGTGCACATGCATGGATGCTATTGACAAGGGTGAAGGCACATGCATGGATGCTATGGGCAAGTAAGTATGATTGCATGTGCATGCAAGTTATAGTCAAAGGTTAATAAAGAATTAAATACAGCTTTCCATGCATGATGGCTGCACAAAGTCAGCCTTCATTTCTTTCAGTATTTTTGCTTTTAAAAACTATTTTCAAATGCTTAACTTAAAAACCATTCTAAGTCAAAGCATTCTATGATAGGGGGGAAGAAGGAACATTGTAATTGTCTTTGAGACAGGGTCTAAGTTAGTCCAGGGTGGCAAAACTCCATAGGCTGTTGAGGAACAACTCAAACTTTGATCATTCTGCCTCTAGCTGGAAACAGCTGAGATCACTGGTGAGAACTAAAATATACTTCTATGATTTAATTCAAATTCCATATATTTTACTTTATTTGTGATCCTAAAGGTACTTTGTTGTACAGTAGTATTTTAAGATGTGTTATGTTTGTTGATGCTGTGGAATTTTTTTTTTAGTGACACAAAGCTGTGTTGCAGTCTTTTTGTTGTGCAGTCTTTTATATTGCATTTTTTTAACCCTGTGAAGCTGTTCTACTTTGATTAATATACCTGATTGGCCAAATAAAGAAGTGAACAGCCAATAACAAGGGAGGGGGAAGGAAAGTTAGGACTGGCAGGTAGAGAGAATGAATAGAAGGAAAGAGAAAAAGAGGAGCAAGAGAACAAGGAGAGGGGGAAGATAGGTAGGGGCCAGCCACCCAGCCACACTCAGCCACAAGTCAGAGTGAAAGATGCACAGAAGCAAGAAAAGGAAAAGTCCCAGAGGCAAAAGGTAGATGGGGTAATTTAAGTTAAGATCTGGCTAGAAATAAGCCAATCTAAGGCTGGGCGTTCATAAGTAAGACCCTGCATGATTTGTTTGGGAGCTGGGTGTCAGGCCCCAAAAGAATTAAAAGGGAAAGAAAAGAGCCAACATCAGTATTTGGCTAAATCAAGTCATGAGTTGTCCCAGGAGGAAATAGACTTCATTTTATACAATTATGAATGTGCTTTTTCTGATCATGTCCCGAACTCACAGCCTAGGCCTGCATATAGGTGACTAGTTAGGGTGTATCACAGTTCATCAGTTTTGTGCCTTTGTTTCTGGTGTTGGGATCCAACAAGAGTCTCTCATGGGCTAGCCAAGCACTGTATCATTGAGCCACATCCTCAGCCCTTACAGTTCCTTTAAAGGCCACTGTGGAAGATATTGGTATTAGGTATTTTATTCCATCAACCCAAAAGAATTATATTTAATTTTTTCAGGTTTTAAATTACATCATTAATTTATTGGTTGCATATTTCCTTTTTTATTTTTGCAGGGGTGTGGTGGTGGTGGTGGTGGTTTGAGGCAGGGTTTCTCTGTGGTCTGTCCTGGAACTAGCTCTGTAGACCATGCTAGTCTCGATTCACAGAGATCTGCCTGCATCTGCCTTCCGAGTGCTGGGGTTAAGGGCGTGCACCACCACCACCACCACCACCACCACTGGGCCAGATTGCATATTTTCTTACTATGTGTCTTACATTGTAAATGGGTCTTGCTCAAGTTCTGGAATGTCACAAACCTATTAGAAGGGACTTTGCTTCGTGTGTGTGTGTGGGGGGGGGGGGGGGTTGGGTGTTGTGTTTAGAGGAAAAAGAGGGAGGAAAGGAAAATAAGATAAATCCACAGATTCCAAAACCCTTTCTGAAAATTGACTTTGAAGTTAATAAAGTTCTGCCTTGAAGTCAACAAAGTTATTCCAGAGCCCTAGCTCAGCTCTCTGATTACGAAAGGTGGGAAGAGTTAGTGATTGTGTTGTCCAAGCACTGTGGGAGAGGAGGAGGGACTGTTTGATACAGTTTCCAAATCCCAGGCCTCTCTTGAAGTCATTCCTTAGCTGAAGCTTGGCCTTGAATTCACCAGGGTCCTCTCTCTACCTTTCAAGTGCTGGGAATACAAGTGAGTTCTGGTTTTATAAGCATTATCTACAGGCCCAGCTTCTGAAATAGAAAGTTTCAATTTTAAGAAATGAAACATTTGAGCTGGCCTCAGTAGCACGTGTTTAATATCCCAGCACCCAGGAGTCAGGTGGGAGGATCCCGCTTTTGAGAGACCCTGTCTCCAAAAAAATGTAGACACTGAAGAAGAAAAAGGAAAAAGAAAAGCTTGTGAATATCATACCTGTTTTATTCAAAATGTATCCACTAAGTGATCATGCTGAGGAAAAATATGCTAACAAAAGAATGTTTCCAGTCTTCAAATTCAAGCTGTAAGACTGGACATGTAATCATAGGATTGGGGAGGTTGAGACAGTGGAGCTCTATGAGTTTGAAGTCAGCCTGGTTTATCCAGCAAGTTCAGGGCCAGCCAAGGCTACAAGTTGAGACCCAGGCTCAGAAAACTGAATGACAAGAACCACAAATATTAAGATGTCATTCTCTCCAAACCATAGCCACACACACACACACACACACACACACACACACACACACTAAAACTCCATGGAATAGAGAAGGGGTAGAGCTCTAGTTCATGAGCAAGCACTTGCCTCATAATACCCTAAATTAGGTTCATTAGAAAACCCCCCAGTGAATTTTTGGAAAAAAATTAAAACAATTATTTAGTAAAATGTTGGGTGCTAATTCTCCTCTCCCTCCCACATTTTGTATGGCAGGGGCTGTGGGTTCTGATGTAGTAGTGACTGCAGTGGTGGGTGACCCTGTCACACTGCCATGTATTTACTCAACAGATCTTGGAATCAGTAACTCTTGCTGGGGCCTTGGCGAGTGTAAATTTTTTTATTGTGCAAGAACACTTATCTGGACCAATGGATATCGAGTCACCTATCAGAGGAGCAGCAGATACCAGCTAAAGGGGCCTATTTCAGAAGGAAATGTGTCCTTGACCATAGAGAATGCTGCTCAGAGTGACAGTGGTCCATATTGCTGTGTAGTAGAAATCCCTGAATCTTTCAGATATGCGACATATTCGCTGGAAGTTAAGCCAGGTAAGCTCTCTTTGTTTTTTTGTTGTTGTTGTTGTTTATTTCTTGACAGTGAACTTAGTCCTCTGTTTGCTAGTGTTTTCTGTTTTCCTCTAAGAAGGAAACTGAAGGTTGTTATAAATATGTTTGTGTATAGGTGAGGAGTACCATTCCCTGTCTGCCCTGCCTTGGGCTTTTGGAGTAGGTCTTACATCTTGCCATACAATTCGTTGCTCGAACAATGGAAATGACCTGATAGAATTGTGTTCCCTCCACCACCTGTTTACAAGACACTTTGCAGTGTGATCACATGAGCAGTGGTTAGTCCATGGTCACTCTGCAGTGTGATCACATGAGCAGTGGTTAGTCCATGGTCACTCTGCAGTGTGATCACATGAGCAGTGTTTAGTCCATGGTCACTCTGCAGTGTGATCACATGAGCAGTGGTTAGTCCATGGTCACTCTGCAGTGTGATCACATGAGCAGTGGTTAGTCCATGGTCACTCTGCAGTGTGATCACATGAGCAGTTAGTCCATAGTCACTCTGCAGTGTGGTCACATGAGCAGTGGTTAGTCCATGGTCACTCTGCAGTGTGATCACATGAGCAGTGTTTAGTCCATGGTCACTCTGCAGTGTGATCACATGAGCAGTTAGTTCATAGTCACTCTGCAGTGTGGTCACATGAGCAGCAGTCATTAGTCTATGAATGATGCTGACACACAATTCCTTCCAATGAGCTTTTTTAGAAGGAGAAGGTGGAGATCAGACCTCTAGGTAGAGCATTAGAAAGAAACAATACAATGTATGAGGTTCATCCCTTGATGGGGTATGAAAGGGCTTCCAGGGAAGGAGGGCCTTCTCTTTACAACTTGGACAGGAGATTTATGAAGAGCAGGAATCTGTGTGTGTGACAGAGAGAGGGAGCACTAGAGCTAGAGAGGACTAGAGAGAGATAGGGGGCACTAAAGATAGTGAGGACTAGACAGAAAAAGCTGCTATGACTAGGATGGCAGGGCAGACAGGGGCCCCTCCTCAGAGAGCAGCCTGCACAATAATCTTCTCAGCCTCCAGCCTCACTGAGGAGTCTCAGGCTGGTCCTCAGAGCAAAGGGAAAGACTGGCTTGTTAGAATCTTGTTCAGGCTCTCTAGAACTGTCCAGTGTCTCAGGCCTGGTGATATGTTTGCAGAACAGAGGATAACATTAAGTTTAGGGAGTTATGTTCTGGTAAGTGAGGGAGGGAGTGTCAAGACCAGGGAGAGGTGGGGAGGCTTTAGCTGCTTGGGTCCTGGTAACTGAAGGAGAGATGCATCACACCTGTTCTGCTGTTAATACAAGTTTACTTCCTGGAACTTATAAGATTTCCTTGAGTTTGTGAAAAGTCAAAGTTTAGAGGTGGTTTTAGACATTGTTTGTAATCAGTACTGAAACTCACACTGCAGAAACCGCAGTGTACTCATGCCAGAATTGATTCTGGTTGAAAACTTTGACACTCTTTCTTCTTTCTGGAAAACTGTGAGAATGTTTTTAGCACAATGAAAAGTACCCTTTAAGTCTATAGTGAGAGGGAATTTAAAATCCTGTTCTTATAGTCATGTTCATATAGTGATAGTACGGTGTTTAGTACTCTGCCAGAGCTTGGTTAATAGTCATCAGAATTTCATCCATGACTGTTAAGACTATGAACTTTTGGAGTTTTACTATAATAATAGCATAAAGAGATAGATCAGGGACACGTTTCATCAGCATTTAAGCTTTTTTTTTTATCCTCAGATATCATAACTTACATTTACATACCTTAATTCACTTTCTTAGACCCTGAAACATTCTTAGATCCTCACCTCTTAAGATTTGTACCTTAAAACACCATTTATCTAATTTACCAGGAGGTACAGGTGGCTGGCCACTGAGAGCATTCACTATAAAGCAAGGTCCTTTACACAAATTAATGGTAAAAGTTACATTAAAAATGTTTTGTGAGTTTTATTCTGAGTCTGGTAGCAAGGTGAAATGTATCTAGACTTGGTATTGGCTCTAGGAGAGTGAGGCCTGTGACCTGAATTTTACAGGGAAGTGAGAAGGCAGCTGAAGCCTTGGTTCTTGCTGTTAAGCTGGACTGTAGTGATATTTGTGGTTTATTAAAATCTGGCCTGAGGATTCAGAAAAGCAAGATCAGCCTCAAGCTATGAGATCAGGCAGTGTTGGCACACATCTTTAATCCCAGAACTCAGGATTAAGAGATAGATGGATCTTTGTGAGTCCAAGGCCACCCAGGTGTACTCCAGGTTGAATCAGTCTAAAAGAATAACAGATTGCATGCCTTTAATTCCAGAACTAGAGGGTTATAAAAGATGGAAGCAGGGTCTTCATTAGTCAGTATGAGGCATTCAGTCTCCAGCCACTCTTCATTAGTCAGGAGAGGCAGTAGTTTGAAGCTATGTGGTTCAGGCATTCATTCTGAGGTAGAGGTAAGAAGCCAGTGGCCAGCTGCTATTCTTTTCTGATATTCAGCTTGAAGTTTGAACCCCAATATCAGTCTCTGGGTCTTTTACTTATTTTTTGATACACTGGCCAAACTACTAGTCGTAAGACAGCATCAGAATTCTGAGAAGAATAAACTTTACATGAGTTAATGATTAAAAATGACAGAGACTTACTTGCTGGCTGCCTATCCTCTATGTTCACTTTGTTTAGGCAACTGGAGGCTGTCAATTACCCAGTGTCCTGATTTGTTCAGGGTCTGGAGAGGGTCTTCGAAGCAGTTGAGGTGAAACACAGGTTGGCTCACTGGCTAGTGCTGCCACTTTTGAAGCCAGTTCCTGGTGGAGGTTCTTCTGTGTACATCCATATTCTTTGGAGAAAATAGGAGTGCTTCCAGGAGCTGGCACATGTCTCTCTATTACAAAATGCTTTTTAATTAAACATTTTAAATGTCATAATCTGCAGATCTCTGAGCATTTGAGGACTATCTATTAGGTATATCTGAGTGGATTTTGTTTCTAGTTCTTTGCTTTAAAATTAACTCTGAAAACTTATTGGGAACAAAGTAAGGCTTATCCCTGTAATTAATAGTCTTAAACTTTTATCACCATATAGAGTATATTTTAAACCAGAGTTGAATAGCATATATATACTATGTCACAAAATTTCATAGTAATCCCAAATATTTGAGACTTACTAATTTCTTAATCTAGAAGGAGATACAATGAACAGAGAGGTCATAAGACCTTAAAAATTAAAAGGAAAAACTGGTGGATGCTGAGCAAAATGAAAACCTCAAATCTGGATGCATTACATTTTCTTTCTTCCTTCCTTCCTTCCTTCCTTCCTTCCTTTATTTTTTTTTTCTAGAGAGGGTTTATCTGTGTAGCCTTGGCTGTCCTGGAAATAGCTCTGTAGAAAAGGCTGACCTTGCATTTGCAGTGACCCACCTACCTCTGCCTCCAGAGTGATGGGATTAAAGGAGTGTTTTCAAGACCGACCACTGGGCTTTACATTCTCCTTATTGATATAAGGATCTCTTTGCATTGAATAAAAGAGAAGACTCATAAGAATTTCTTGACTTCTGGTGCTATTCCTAACAGTTTTACTAAAGGGTATACAAAAACAACAGAAGTCAATCATAGAAATAATCTGTCTCCATTTTTAAATTAAGAACATTTTCTGTAATCTCTCAGCTTCTAGACCTTGTTATTCATCCATTTGTTCATTTTCATGTTTAAATTGATTTTTAAAACTACATTACTATTCTGTTGCTATGAATGAATGATGTGTATGCAGTGTATATGCATACCATGATGAATTTGTCAGAGGGCAAACTTGTGGGGTTGATTCTCTCTTTACATAATTACATGAGTTCTAGGAGTGTAAGTCACCTATCCAGTCTTCCAAGTCAAGTGCCTCTACCCATTGAACCATTATTCTGGCTCCCTGTTTTGTGATTTTTTTATGAATTTTGACACGGGGCCTTGCTCTGTAAATCAATTTGACCTGGAATTTCTTGTCTATTTCCTTAAACTCCTAAATTTGGGTTTGCAGGAATGTGATACCACACCTTGTTAGGGTGAGGTCCATTCTGATTCGGCATGGAGCTGCCTTGCAAAACTATGTCTGGGAGGCAACTTAGGGAAGCCAGAAGAAGATGGTCATAGAGTGTGCAACGAATGATGTATAGAGACAGCTTTGGGGAAGAGACATAAGGCTCGCAGTGTGTATCACAGATGTGAAATGATATATTTACCTGGCTGAAGTTAAATAACTCTGGAATCAAAGGGTACCCACTCACATGAGAATAAACCTTACACACACAACACAGAGAGACATAGAGACATCGAGAGAGAGAAAGGGATCACTAGAAAAACAAAACCCTCTTAGGGAATGTGTAGAAATTGGTCTAGCATACCTGAAGCCTTTGCTTCTGTCCCTAGAACTGCAAAAACACTAATCAAATAAGGGGTGTGTTATGGCTTAGGAAGGCACTAGTCTAGCACACATTCCTGCCTAAAACACTGGGGTCAAATTCCCAGCACCAGAATAGGGATAGGCATGGCATCATAGCATAAAATTACCAATTTCTACTCATTAATTGAAGGTTTTATGAAGCTTAGATATTTGTTAACCGGTCAGTGCTTAAAGAGTGATTCCATAGGTGATCCAACAACTCTGTTTCATCTTTTACAACCAAGTCAACATTTTCTCATGGCTTAAATACACCAAGCTTCCTCTCCAGTGGTCCTAGGAACCTCATCAGCTCCTTTGGACTTTCCCATCAACTTGGGAGAATAAAATCCCAGAGAAAGATGAGCAAAGCTCCTGAGCTGCTGATTCTTTCCTGATTGTGCTGTTATAGTGATCTTCTGACTAGATTGCCCCATGCTTGCTTTTCTCTCACCTAGAGATTTCTGCTCTCCAGGGATGGTTTGTACTGTGTTCAGGCCTCTGTCCACACATTGGACTGGTCAGCAAACCACCCAGGCCAGGTGATAAACATAACCACTCATTGGTGTGAATAGTTTCATTGCATCACAGCCACACCCACTCTTGCTATGTTGTCAGCAGTGATTTTCAAACTGACATGTGTGCTTGCTCCTGAACACTGTGTTTTTTAGTTACTGAGCCCAAGACACTTAACTGTCTGGCCCTCTATAGGAAAGGGGCTTGAGGGAGAATGAGATGGCTCAGTGGGAGGTGCTGACTAATAAGATTGATGACCTGAGTTCAATCCCTGGCACCAAATGGAGGAAGCAGAGAACAGACTCCTGACATCCATCCGCATTTGTGACATCACACAAATAAATGAATAAATTCATGCATAGAATTTAAGGGGTTGCTCTGCATCTGCCATTTCCCTATACATCGTAGGAACACTACTGTTTTTCCTTTATTTCAAGGTAAACATACACTGCATTAAGGGATTATGCATCCCACATAAAGAAGGGTTTTCAGAGCAATTTTTCCTTGTTGCTGAGCATTAATTTTGCAGTTAGCACAGGTAATATTGAGGTTATGTCTTCTGACACTGACAGTATGAGTCCTGACACTATTTTGCCTTAGGTCCTGTCTAGGAACATAGCATACTAAGACCTATTTGGATGCTTAAAGCCCCTTGGAAGCTGTTGATTTGTGAATTGTAGGTTCAACCTGCCTAATCCAAAAATCTTACCTCTTCAGAGATTCAAAATCTAGAACCTTTTAAATGTGGACTTGGTAAAGCACCTGGAAATTTCAACACCATGAAATTATCACATGCAGAATTATCATAAGTTTATAAACTTTCAATTAACATATATACATAAATTGCAGGCATATGAATGCTACATCAACCATGTTTATGCTTGAGGATCATTTATAAGACAGTATCTATATGCAAATGTTCTGAATTGTTAAGAAAGATTTAAATTTTGAAACCAAACATTTTTGGATGAGGGGTATTCATATTGTCTGTCAAGATAGGAAGAAACCATAAAAGACAATATCCAGTCTCTACCCAAATGTTCAAAACCCATTTGTGTTGGGGCTTGTGTGGGATCTGCATGGTAAGATGCAGGGCTATAGGGTGTGTCTGTCCTCTTGGGACTCACTGTAGAGAACATGCAGGGTCTGGAAATTGAGTATGAAGTGGGTCACGAGTGAGATCAAAAGTCCCCACACCAGTCACACAAATGCTTAGAGATCTGAGGACCTGACAGCTGTCATTTATAATGTGTCCTTAGAAGCACAGGCTATGTTCTCATTTCCATGTCATCAGTGCAGCTGCCTGCTATTGGTGAGCTGTCCCCACAGCACTTCCTTGCCCTGTCCTACTTAGCCAATGTCACAGGTCAGAAGTTCAGGAGAGGAGCCTCTCTGGGGACAGCCTCTCACTGGTGCTACAACAGAAGCTCTTGTCCCTTCTTGTTGACAAATCCTTGTTTCATCATGATTTCCAAATCCAGAAATTCCAACAAGTCCTCCAACAAGTCCCACAACTATACCAAGACCCACAACAACAGGAAAACCCACAAAAACGGGAAGACCCACAACAACAGGAAGACTCACAACAGAAATACCCAGAACTACAAGAAGGCCCACAACTACAGTGAAACTCACGACTATGTCAACAAGACCCACACTTGTAACAACATCACCTAGAGTCTTTACCTCTATGCCTACAACACCAGCACAAACAGAGACTCACACACCAGGTAAAAGCCAATGTGGTTCAGGAACCAGTGTCCCTCTTATCAGTGGCTGTAAGATACACAGACACTGAGTAAAATCAGAAGTATAAATGGGTGAAGAGTTCTTAACTGGGTCCCAACAACAGCTTCGAAAAGACTGTAGTTTTCCAGTCTTAAGGTACATTTACCTTCTGATCTGTATGAACTTGAAGATATAGAGACACCATCTTTCTATTTTAGATTCCCAGGGGATTCACTCCTAGCCAGACTTAGGTGGATCATTATCTAGGATAGCTGATGAGGATGGAGGCACTCTGGATCTGCTTGTCATGACTTTTGGTGAGAAACTAAGGACTGACTGAGAACTAAAGTCATGGTAGGGAGACCCTTGACCCTTTGCATCATTCTGAAATTGATCCATACAGCTGAGGCCATGGTTCAGTGAAGCTAACATTTAGCGTTTCCTGGACATCACGACACATGCTCCATGCTTTATGATGCAGAGATTAAATCTCAGATAATTATGTCCTATATAGCTGTGGTCTGTCCCTATTTTATAATGACAGGAACTGACATAGTCAGAAAGTTCATGGTAGAGTAATGAAGACAGAAGGTGGCTCAGACTCTGTCCCTGATCACTTGAGTTGGAACCTGTTTCTTCTGACTCCAGGACACAGATGTTGAGAGGGTTTGTAATGTTCTCACATCCTCACTGGAAAGGCATCCTGACACCACCCTCTAAAGAGACAGTGGATGTCTTCTGAAGGTTTACTTTAAGGATCTTTCAAAATATTTCTGTACCATGAAAAAG